TAATACAAAATGCGGCACTTATCTACAATTGAGAGCCAAGACAACTTGCTAATCCCTTAATAACGCTCCGCCGAGGGCCCCATTGGCTGCGGCTCGGGGCTCCTGTGGCTGCATGCAAAATCACTGCCAAGGTCTGGGCTGCTCCGTGCAGCGGGCGCTGCCTGCGGGGATTGCTCTGCTCCGAGCCCAGAGAGCAGGGAGCGCCGATGGGGGGGCGGTGTGGGGAGAGAAGACCCCGTGTTATCATGGTGCACCACTGTGGGCCTCGTCCTGAATGCCGTGCATGCAAAAACTCCATCCCCGATGGGGTTGGGGGGGAAGGAGAGGGGTGCTTTTATCCTTCCTGTGCTCAGGTTGCTTGCTTGGATGGGGGGGGGGGGGTTTGCACCCTGTGCAAATCTGCCTGCAATGAGCATCGCTGCGCCTGCAGCGCTGCAACTGAACTGCTGCACCCGTTGCATCCCTGCACCCATTGCATCCCTGCACCCGTTGCATCCCTGCACCCATTGCATCCCTGCACCCATTGCATCCCTGCACTCCCTGCTGCTCCCACGGCCTGGCAGTGGGATGCTGGACGATGCCGTTGTCCCCCCGCCCCGCGCTGCTGTGACGGACAGAAATTGCCACTTAATTTCCGGCTTCCTTTCCCCTTCCCCACCCCCGCTGTGATTTACTTCTCCCCGGAGGAGCCCAAAAGCTGTAAACACACTTTTATTTGTCAGTTGTATCCCTGCAGCCTGCAAGGCTGTTGAAAAGGTAATATATGATTTCAGTCCTCTTTGCTTGATGATGTCGGGATTAGGAGCCCTACATATTTTATAGAAACCTCTACATGATCTTCCTTTATAAATCATTTAAATAGGAGTGTCTTTTCTTGGTGTGTGATATAAAATATTTACTGGAGTGGATGAAGGCTATTCATCCGTGTTTACCCTCCTGCCTACAGCCCAGCTCCATTTACCGACAGCCCGGCACGGCGCGGCCCTTCGTGCTGCCCAGCAGGATGTGGCTGAAGCAGAGCTGGGGATGTAGGAGCTGGGGATGCTGGAGCTGGGGATGTCAGAGCTGGGGATGCTGGAGCTGCGCTGTGTGCCGGGGTCGCTGCATCACACAGCTCCATCTCACCTCCAGAAGGACCGGTTTTGGTGCAGCAGCTCAGCGCACGGCATCCCATGAGCTGCATGCCAGGCTATCCATGATGGCATCATTCTCCTCAACGCTGGCGGCTCCTGTCCCCGTCCCCAGCCCCTCAGCAGCTCCCTGGCCATTAGCATTCATTGCAATTCTTTCCATTTGTTACCTGGCAGGGAAATGAAAACACGTCGCTCCCCCCAGCGGGGTGTTCCCCACGGCGAGCCCCAACTTTTCAATCATTTCTTGGCACCGCCGTGGCAGAGAGCGGCCCCCCCGCCCCCCAGGCAGGAGCAGCGCTATTAAAAGCCTCGCCCAGGGGCATGTATTTTACATAAGACGCCGTGTACATGCTGTGCAACATTCAGGAGGATCATGCTGGAGCAATTGGTCCGGATATAATGCCGGTTACCTTGCGGGAGAGCCAAGGGGAGCGATGCCGGCTCGGTGCCGGGGGGAGCGATCCCCCCTGGGCTATAGGGGCCGCAGAGGCGGAGCAGCAGCCGACAGTGGGCTGGGGCCACGGGGGGCCCCTCTGTCCCCACCGCCGCCCCCTCCTGTGAGATGCAGAGCCCCACTCCCTCCTCCTTCTCCATCGGGCGGGGGGGGGGGGGGGGGGAACGCGCAGCTCAAGCACCGAACTCAATGTCTAGTGGCCTGAAAAGTTTCATTTCCTGCTGGCGAGGGCCCTGCAGAATGGCATGTAAAGGAGCTGCGGTGCCTGTACACAATTACACACCCGGCTGCCTTATTTCATGGAAATCAATGGCCGCAGAGGGACGGCGCGTCAGGGGCTCTGCGGCAGAGCGCGATGCCGGTCCTCCCGCCGTGTGTCCTCACCCCGTGTCCCATCCAGGAGCAGCTCTGCGTCCCCATCCATCGGGAGAATGCTGCGGTGCTGCCTGCTGAGCGGTCCGGTGCCGGAGTTGCTCCTCCCCACGTGCTGCACTCAGCTCTCCTCGCTCCCCGTCTCGTGTTATTTCCATAAATCATCCCCTGAGCAGGTGTTTGCCTGGGTGCTCGGCAGCCGGCAGCTTGTTCCAGGGACGGCTGAGGCTGTATCACTTGTAGCTATCAGGAGATAAGGGACAGGAGCAGAGAGGGGGGAGAGGGGGACAAAGCGCAGATGTGACAACTGCAGAGCACGAGGAGAGCAGTGGTGTGGGGGGAGAGGGGAGCACAGAGCAGCAGCAGAGCCTGGGAGGGGGCAGTGAGCACGGGGTTGGGGTCACAGGGATGGGGTCACAGGGATGGGGTCACAGGGATGGGGTCACAGGGATGGGGACACGGGGATGGGGTCACGGGGATGGGGTCACGGGGATGGGGTCACGGGGATGAGCCCATGGTCCTGCTGCTGCTGGGTCCCTGACGCGCTCTGCACAGTGTCAATGGCCCCGTGCAAACCCTGGTGCATTACAGCACCCAAGTCCTGCAGCACCCACTGATCACATCCAGCACGAAGCACTGAGAAGGCGCAGCGCCTCGGGGGATGCAGGGAGCAGCACAGCGCAGCCTCTGGGAACCAAAGCCGAAGGATCAGGAGGGAGCAGGCCTGGGGAGCTCTGTGCTGTGCCCCTGTTGCACCTCAGCCCCGTGCTGTGATCCTGATGGATCAGTGCAGCTGCATCCCAGAGCCCATCACCACTTGTGGGGCAACACTGCACCCATCATCCTGGGAACCCCGACCACAGAGCACAAACCTCAGGGCTGGGGGAGTTTTGCACAGCAGGAAACCCCAATGAAGCCCAGACCCAGTCCCAAAGTTGCCTTTTGCACAAGGGTGGGATGGGCGCACGGCTCCCAAACACCCCACCTCCGCGTGCCCCCACCTGCAGCTTCAATTACAACATGAGATTGCTGCTCCAGGAGTTCTGGGGCCGTAAAAACCCATTTCAGACACTGCTGGCCATACATGACGTGTGACCCCGCAGCGCTCCGTTGGGCACAGAGCCGTCCCCACCAAAACCACAGAGCCCATTCCGGAGCTCAAAACCTGGCTGAGCCAAACCGAGCCCTTTCAGGCCTTCAGAATCTCTGACTCCATTAATTAATTACTAACGACGATCCGTCTCAGCCTTGCTCCTGCCAGCTCGCTATTTTTAACTCCGTATTTCCAACCCCATGTGTTAAAAAAATCATGAATCCGGGCTGAAAAAGCCTCACGCCGTCGCTCCTTCCCGGCCCCCCCCAGGCGCTCTCCCGGCGCGCCGCGGTCCCGTTCCGTCGGTGCTGGCACGCAGATGGTCCCATTAAAAAGCAAAATGAGCTTTTCACCCTTTCGTGGCAAACTTCAGAGCCTCGGATCAGCTGTAGGAGCTTGCATTAATTAACGGCGGATTGTTCCTATTCTGCTCATTATGCTGAAATACGCGCTAAGTGCTGGGAACGAACGCGGGGCCGCACGAGAGAAAAGTTGTGCGGGGCTGTGAGAAACACAACGCTGCTCTGATGGGTGTCTGGTGCCAGGGCTGCTGTGCCACGGGGCAGCGGCTCTGAGGGGGGGGGAAGCCCTGGGGGGACACATCGTGGCAGCAGCATTGAGGGGGGGGGGACCTCAGGGATGTCACCAACCCCAAAATGGCACACGGGGAAACAGAGGCAGAGCAGCACCTGGGGACGTCCCACCCCGCAGCGCCCACCTGCCGGGCTGCAGCACCTCTGATAATTAAATACTATCAACAATTGCATATTAATTAATTTAATATCCATTATTATTCATTAAGGTGGTAATTAAATCCTTCCCGTAATTAACACACCACCCAGCTCGGCGGTCTGGCGTCACGGCCCCTTTGTTACCAGTGGGGCCAGGGAGCAGGGAAGGAGCTGAGCGTGGCCACTCCACTGCATCCCCACTGCATCCCACTGGATTTGTGTACCTCACTGCACCTCACTGCATCCCAGTGCACCTCACTGCATCCCACTGCATTCGTTTACCTCACTGCACCTCACTGCATCCCAGTGCATCCCACTGCACTCCAGTGTACCTCACTACTCCCCACTGCATCCCAGTGTACTTCACTGCATCCCACTGCACCCCACTGCATTCGTGTACCTCACTGCACCCCACTGCATCCCAGTGCACCCCATTGCATCCCACTGCACCCCACTGCATTCGTGTACCTCACTGCACCCCACTACATCCCAGTGCACCCCATTGCATCCCACTGCACCCCACTGCATTCGTGTACCTCACTGCACCTCACTGCATCCCACTGCATCCCAGTGCACCCCATCACTGCTGGGTCAAAGCAGCATCCAGGCTCATCCCGCAGCGCGGCGGCAGGGAAAGGCACGTCTCCAAAGCAAGGAGGAGGGGGGGAGGGGGGGAGGGGGCCTCACATGACATTTATTTTTATTTTATTATAAAAAAATACAGAATCCAAATGAGGTGGTGATCCGGATACCATCAGCACGACGTCGAGGACGAAAAGCGGCGTGGCGAAAGGACGAAGCTATAGGAGACCAACACACAAAAAAAAACCCCCAAATCCCAGCGCCCACCATGGGCTGCTCCCAATTAAAGACTGACCCAAGCGACCCCCCCCCCCCTTTTTCCCCCCGGCCCCCCCCCTCTGCTCAGAGCTCCCTGCAAGTGCTGCTGCCTCAGCGCTGCTCCCCAACTCTCTCACAGTCGCTGTACACAATATAGATATTTATATATATAATCTATATATATATAAAACACAAACCGAAGGCCAAAAAGGGGGGGGGCCGCTCCAGGGGGGGCCCCCAGGGGTACCGGTGCCAGGAGAGCCACGATGCACCCATCTGCCTTCCAGAACCACGACCCGGTCAGGACACACAGGGACGGGGGGGGGGGGGTGGGGGCACAGGGGGGAGAAATGCATTTATTTTTTTTTTTAGTGTCGTTTTGTATTATTATTATTATATTTTTTTTTAGGGTTTTTTTTTTTTTTTGGGATGGTTCGAGATGAAGCTTATTGCAGAGATTTCAGCAAAGTCCTAAGTCTAGAAAAATCAACCGAATCAAATCAAAATAAAATAAACCCTTCCATAAAATTCATTCTCGACAATACATAATTAAACAAACAAAAAAAAAAAACCCCAAAATACGCTCACAGTATAGTAGTGCCTGGAGGCTGTATGTACAGGGGGGGCCCCGACCCCAACAGAAGGGACGAGGGGGGGGGGGCCGAGTGGGGAACGTGTCCATGGGACGGGGCTCGGGGCCGCCGTCCCCAGCGTGAGCCCCCAGGGGGTGGGAGGCACAGTCCCGGATTTAAGGCGAGGAGGGGTCGCGCCCCTCTCTGGTTCATCTCCCAGCCCCGTGCTGAGGGGCTGACGGCAGATCGGGATTTCCACACGGCTGCAGGAAAGGAAGAGGAGAAGAAGCCAAAGCCGTCGGGGGCACCGTGGGCACGGCTGCGCGTGGCCCCATCTGCAGCTCCCTCCCCCCGGACGACGCCGATGCGTGGAGCCGTGCTGGGAGGCAGCGAGGAGGAGAACGCAGGCGCAAAGGCTGCTCCGTCCTGGTGGGGGAGATCCAGCCCCAGCGAGGCGCAGGCAGAGCCCACAGCCCCGCTCCAGCCTCGGATCCAGCCGAGCGCCCGCAGGGGCTCCCGGTGCCGCGCAGGACCCCCAGGCACTGCCGCATCGCTGCCCCACGGGAATGGTGAGCGATAGAGACGGGGCTGCCCCGCTTTCCTCGTGTCCATCCGGGGTTCTGCCCCCTGTGTGTGAGTGGCACCGTGCTGCTGCATCCGTCTGTCCGTCCATCTCGCCGCGCCGGGCGAAGGCAGCGTGCCACAAGGGACCCCGTGTGGGTCAGTCTGACACGGGGCAGCAACCCGAGCAGAACCAGCCAACGGAAATAAAGATCTTTCAAAAGGAGGGGGGGGAAAAAAAAAAAAAAAAAAAAAAAAAAAGAAAAAAAAAAACCCCAAAAAAACCAAAACCAACCACCCAACAGGACTCTATTTGGTCTAGAAATGTAAAAAGCAGCCATCCTACGGGAGGCTCGCTGCCGCGGGGACGGGCGCAATCCGTGCGCACGGCGGGATCCCCGCTCCCTGCTGCAGCGCAGGGCTGGATGCGGTCGGGCAGGGTGCAGTGAGGCTCCTGGCTGTGCTGCAGCCCCACTTCTGTCCCGTGGTGGTGCTCAGGCTGTCCCGTCCCATCCGTCCGTCCGTCCCGCGGCGCTAGGAGCCCAGCAGAGTCCAGAAGACCGGCGCAGCCACCAGCACGGCACGCGGCACTGCAAGGCTGCAGCACGAGTTGTTGCTGGTGAAGATGGGCTCTGGGGACTCATAGAGGGAATCGTCTGCAAAAAGGAAAGAGAGGAGAGGTGTGAGATGGCGCAGCCTGCCCAGAACTGCGGCTACGTGGCACCAGAATGGGGTCCGGATGGCTGCTGCTTGCAACCCCACAGTGGGAGCTCAGCCCCACAGCCAGGCACCAAACCCCTGCGTACCCGAAAAATAATGGCATCCTTCAAACTGAAGGGCTCTGCCCGCTGATGGAGCAGCGCACGGGGCTCTGCGGCTCCTAGAGGACGTCCCTGCACGGGGCTGGGCACCACGGGGACGTGCTGGGGGTCCTGCCCCCGTGTGCCAAACGTGCAGGCAGTTCTGCACGAGGTGGATGGGATCCAAAATGCGAGCAGCTCGGACAACAGCCAGGCCTGGAGTTGGCCCAGCAGCGCGGCGCCTTCGGCTCTCCGAGTCAAACGGTGACTCAAGCTCTTAACGCTCACCCCGGGCTCTGCCTGCTCGCGCTGATCACTGGATTAAGGATCTGGACGGAGCCACGGCCAGGAAAAGCAGCGCTGCCCCTCAACGCCACCCTCCATCCTGCAGGGTCAGTGCCAGGGATGTGCATCCCAGGGCACAGGGAGCAGCACCAAACAGAGCCTGGGGAGCCCTGGGGACCCCCAAGGAGTGGGGAGAAAACTCCCCTCACGGCGCAGCACGGAGGCGGCCCCACATCTCCGCCAGGCGCCCCGCGAAATGTAATCCTGACATTATTAAAAATAGTAGAGGAAAAAAAGAATAGAAAATGATATCGGGAGAGATGGGTTCCCCCCGCCATGCCCCAGTCCTGAGCAAAACAGAATGATTTTTTACAGATGGTTTCATTATATTGGGTTTTATTTTAAAGCCATGCAAATAGGGAAAAAAAAAGAAAGACATCCTTTTAAATGGTGACATTTCGCAGGCACTCAGCCCTTCCCCAGGGAGAGCTGCTGCCATTTGCTAATTACACGTTAACAGGAGAAGAAAATTATTAATTTGTTTTTTTAAATGGCTGAGTTATTTGATTCTGAAAAGTAGCCACTGTGCAGAGATTATCATTTTTTTTCCCTCTATCTGGAACCCAGCGGGCAGCGACCTCGGCCACGTGCCACCCCCAGCCCCCAGCCCTGGGGACCGCTGTGCTGCAGGGATGGGACGTGGCACTGCGAGCAGCTCCTGCCCCACATCTTCCAACCCCCCCCCCCAGCCAAATGGAGACCACGTCCCCCGCTATGGGTCTGTGGCCCCACGCATCACTTACTCGTCGGCCGAACGTAAACCTTCAGCTTGAGGCAGGGTCTGTCCACCACGTTCGGGGGAGACGCAGCTGCAGAGGAGCACAAAGCAGAGAGAAGTGGCTGCGTGAGAGCAGAACAGCAGCTCGGAAGCCCCTGCATTGTGCTGCCGAGGCGGGGGCTCAGAGCAGAGACCCACCGTGGCACGGCCTCGATGCTCAGCTGCAGCAGCCCCACAGGGGGCACACAGCTGGGGGGGGATGGGATGCAGAGGATGGGGCTGGGGGCTCTGTGGGGACAGGAGGTGGCCCTGGTGGCTCCGTGCACCGTGGGGCAGAGCTCAGTGGGTCTGCGTGGCAGGGGGAGGAGAAGGCAGAGCTCGCTGGGAGAGACAATGGGAGCGAGTGCAATAATTGCCTTGGTGAAAGTCCCCGCTCAATACGAGAAACTGATTTTTATATACATGTTTTTAAAGGAATTTCATTTGCTTTTCTCTTCCCTTCTCTTTTTTTTTTGTTTTGGAATTAAAGGACAGAAGGGAGCATTACTCACAATAAAGTTCAATCTGAACAGGAAGGAGGGGAGAACTGGGACCTGGCTCACACGAGAGCTGGCAGAGGATGGGGGGAACACCCACCTGTCCCCCCCAGCTCCGTGCCACCACCACCCCCATCTCCGGGACGCAGCCGGGGGCAGCACGCAGCACTTCTCCCCTTCCCCTCTTCTTCCCCTCCCTTGTGCTGTGATCTCAGCATTCGGGGAAGGTCACGGCTCTGTGTTGTCCCCAGGGTCCCCACGTGCCCTTGACCCAGCGCAGCAGCACGGCCGCCGTCCCCGTGCCCTGGAGGTTAATGGCATTCCAATTTGCGAGCTCGAGGAGGAGGTAATTTCTTTTCTTTCATGTCTGCTAAATACGGCGCCTCAAAGAGGCGTAATTTCTAATGTTCCGCATGACATGAATCCTAACCGGTTTAGCAATGATCAGCTTCACCATTTACTTCTGTGTAATCTCTCCCTAACGACGTTAAAAATACAAAATAAATAAATAAAATATAGACATATATATATTTTTTAAATATATATATGGAATAAATCGGGGCACGGGGGGCAAAGAGGAGGGGGGAAGGGAGAGTTGAGGGCACGGTTATTTGGCGAGCGACATTTTGCAGGGGGAACAGAGCGAGGGGAGGGGGGGGGAAATGGTAATTTAATATAGATAAAAGGAACAAATTAAGTGGGCTGCAAACAGACGCTTTAGGAAAAAGGGGGAGAAATAATAAGGGAGATAAGCAGGGCGAGGAGAGCGGCGGCGGCGCCTCCTGTGCCACGCTGGGCGCCGGGGTCGCGGGCGCTCGTTCATTTTCATTCTGTTCCTCTGCTCTGCTCGCTCCCCACGCTGCTCCTCCTGCTGCTCTGGGGGATGTTAAAGCAGGGGCTGCTGGGCTGTTTTGGGGCCGTGCAACGGGCGCCATCCGCACTCACAGATGTAGTAATACTCGTGGCCGGGGCGAAACTCGAAGCCCAACGAGAAGGGAGTGAAGAGCTGAAACTTCTCGGAGAATTTGAGGGGTCCGCTGGGCGAATCGGGGCGGTTGCACTCCCAACGTTTGAAGCCCTTCTGCCGGTGGTCGCAGGACGCGTGGCCCTCGTAGTTCACCATGTAGAGGACGTAGCGCTCCATGCGCTCGGCGGGCAGCGGCTCCTCGTAGTGAGGGCAGTAAATGTCCAGGTAGTCATTGATGCTCACCTCCACCGTGTAATCCCCGCGGTGGAACCTGCAGCACAGCAGCGTCAGCAGCAGCATCCCCAACCCCGACCCCAGCCCTGAACCCCAACCCCGACCCTGACCTGGATCCCAACCCCAACCCCGACCCCAGCCCTGAACCCCAACCCCGACCCTGACCTGGATCCCAACCCCAACCCCGACCCCAACCCCAACCCTGACCCCAGCCCTGAACCCCAACCCCAACCCTGACCTGGACCCCAACCCCGACCCCAACCCCAACCCTGACCCCAGCCCTGAACCCCAACCCCGACCCTGACCTGGACCCCAACCCCGACCCCGACCCCAACCCTGACCCCAGCCCTGAACCCCAACCCCAACCTCGACCTGGACCCCAACCCCGACCCCAGCTCTGAACCCCAACCCCAAACCCGACCCCAACCCTGACCCCAGCCCTGAACCCCAACCCCAACCTCGACCTGGACTCCAACCCTGACCCCAGCTCTGAACCCCAACCCCAACCCCAACCCCAACCCCAACCCCAACCGTGACCCCAGCCCTGAACCCCAACCCTGACCCCAGCTCTGAACCCCAACCCCAACCCCAACCCCAATCCCAACCCCAGCTCTGAACCCCAACCCCAACCCTGACCTGGACTCCAATCCTGACCCCAACCTGGACCCCAACCCCAACCCCAGCCCTGAACTCCAATCCCAACCCCAACCCCTACCCCAACCCTCCCCATACCCACGTCCCCAACCCTGACCTCCACCCTGACCCCTAACCCTCCCCTAACCCCAACCCTCACCCCCCAGCTTCACCCCCCACCATTAGGCCGTTTCCCCCCCCCAAAACCCCCAGCCCCCCCCTCACACCAACCCCAGAAGACCAAACCCGGCACCTCCTTGTTGTAAGATTAATAAGCCCGCGACGCTCGCTACTAAGTAGCACAAAATCATTATTCACCACGATAGCATCGACCCTTTTGGTATTAATGCCGATGCGTGCCACAATCCTATTGTAATTTGCGTTTTTGGCACTGATTATCTGAGAGATTAAGGGATTAGCAGAGACGGGAGAAGGCTGCATGCGGCAGCTCCCACCCTGCAGCACCTGGCCCCTGCCCCTGGCACCCCAGGGACCCCCAGCTGCAGCCCCCCAGCGCAGCTCTGTGCCCCCCAGGACACCAACACAGCACTTCTGCTCTTTTCCCCTCTTTGCTCATGAATTGGAAGCTCCTGCAGCGCCGCTCTTGGGCACGGCGGCGCCGTATCCCACAGCCATCCCATACTGCTGGGGGTTTGCACCCTGAGCACCCACCTGCACCCACCCCCCTCCCATCCAAAGCGCTGCCCTGTGCTCCTCCCTGAGCACCCAGGCTGAGGCTGGCTGCAACTCATCACACGGATGCCCCGTGTGCCCCCAATGGGGACAATGACAGCCCAGGAAGCGGTCGACCAAACTGGCACCCCAAAAAGGATGCAGGGATGAGGTGTGTATGGGGGGGGGGTCCAATCCTTCCGTCCTCCCACCCGTTACCCACTTCATAAGCGCTCTGATCACACAGGGAAACGCGCTAATGAAGGAGAAGGGCTTTTCTCTCTCTCCTTCCCTCTCCTTTTCCAAGTCGGCTGTGCCAACCCTGCCCCTGGCAAGGTAACATTTTAAAATGTAAAATTAATACAAAGGGCCGCGATTTACTGGGAAACAATTTCAAACACATACAAAACAATAAAGAAAAAAAAATGAAGAAGAAAAAACGTGCACAGCTCCTCTCCCTTCCTTTTATTTAAAAAAATTATTTATTTTAATGATTGTTATTTAAGTCCGAGCGAAAAGGCGATTGTAACAGAAGGGCTCGCGCTCATCAGGGGAATAATAATAATAATTATGTTTTGGGGATAGGGAGGGGGAAGAAAAAGATCGACCGACTCCAAGGGCTTTTGCTGGACTGACAAAGTGGTGAATTAAAGCTGATTAGCTGTGATGAATGGAGCAGACGGGGCTGGGGAGCAGTGGGGAGCTCAGTCCCAGCGTGGGGCTCTCAGCTGGACGTGGGTCCTTAACCCCCCCCAGCCCATCCCCCCACAATGGACTTCTGGTTGGGAACACTGTGATCGGGGGGGGGGGTCAGCAGCAGTGCCCTTGTGTCCCCATCCCCACTGTGCCCCATAGACGTGACCCAACGCAAGGGTCAGAAGGCACAAAGTGTACAGAGAAGGAGGTTTTAGGGAGCAGCGTTAGGACAGGGCAGGCTGGGGGGACACGGGTCATGGGGGGACACAGAGACAGTGCTGGCACACAGGGACAGGCAGCACAGACAGCTGGGCATCCCAGCCTTGGCAATGCCACGCTGCACCCCCATCCCTACAGCCCTGGGTGGCGCACGGCGCCATGCAGCACTTCCAGATGGGGCTCATCCTCCAGGGGTGGGGATGGAGGAGCAAAGCACATCCCCACCTCCATGTGCCAAGGGTCCCCATTTCCATGTGCCAAAGGCCCCCATCTCCATGTGCCAAAGGTCCCCACCTCCATGTGTCAAGGATCCCCATCTCTATGTAACAAGGGTTCCCACCTTCATGCACCAAAGGTCCCCATTTCCATGTGCCAAATGTCCCCAACTCCATGTGCCAAAGGTCCCCACCTTCATGTGCCAAAGGTCCCCACCTCCATGTGCCAAAGGTCCCCACCTTCATGTGCCAAAGGTCCCCATCTCTATGTGCCAAAGGTCCCCACCTCCATGTGCCAAAGGTCCCCACCTCCATGTGCCAAAGGTCCCCACCTTCATGTGCCAAAGGTCCCCATCTCTATGTGCCAAAGGTCCCCACCTTCATGTGCCAAAGGTCCCCACCTCCATGTGCCAAAGGTCCCCACCTTCATGTGCCAAAGGTCCCCACCTCCATGTGCCAAAGGTCCCCACCTCCATGTGCCAAAGGTCCCCATCTCTATGTGCCAAAGATCCCCACCTCCATGTGCCTAATGTCCCCATTTCCATGTGTCAAAGCTCCCCATCACCATGTGCCAAAGGTCTCCATCTCTACGTAACAAGGGTCCCCACCTCTATGTGCCAAAGGTCCCCACCTTCATGCACCAAAGGTCCCCATTTCCATGTGCCAAACGTCCCCACCTCCATGTGCCAAACGTCCCCACCTCCATGTGCCAAAGGTCTCCACCTCCATGTGCCTAATGTCCCCATTTCCATGTGTCAAAGGTCTCCATCTCTATGTAAAAAGGGTCCCCATCTCCATGTGCCAAACGTCCCCACCTCCATGCGCCCAAGGTCCCCGTCTCCATGTAACAAGGACCCCCACCACAGGTCCCTCATCTTCCCGTGCTCCTGTCTTGGGTCCACCCTGCCTTTTCCCTCCAGCCAATCTTTACGGACCACCCCTCCCTACAAAACCCTCCCCACGGCACGAGGGGACGCAGGGCTGCGGGCAGCGCACGGCGCCGTCTGCTAATTTGTTATCGTTTAAGTCGTTCAGTCCGCAAAATGTCAACAGCGTTTTAAAAACCCGCCGCCTGGAACGCCGTAGCCGCAGCAGGGCTGCCAGGCCGTGCTAATTAGAAGGAGTGGGATTGGAGCTGTCTAAATGAGGCACGGCGCTAATTCGTCTGGTTTGAAATAGAAAATAAAATAAAAACCTCCACGGCTGGGAGTGATGGCGGCGGTGGGGTGATACCGTGTGACACAGAGTGGCAAAAAAAACACCCAAAAAAACAACAAAGCAAACGGCGTAAAATGGTGCAAAAATGGTGAAATGCAGCAGCACAAAGGGAGATGTGGCGGCTGCCTCGGCTCTGAGTGGGGCGGGAGAGTTTGCTGCCATGTGTGGGGCTGAGGACTCAGGGCCCTGTGGGGGATATGGGAGCAGCCTCTGGGGATGTGGAGCCTATGGGGCCTTGGGGTGGCTGTGGGGTCTGTGGGGGGATATGGGGCTCTGGGGCCGTGGGGTCTGTGATGGTCATGAGGTCTATGGGACCTAGGTGGCTGTGGGGTCTGTGGGGTGATATGGGTCTGTGGGGCCTGTGGGGATATAGAGGTCTATGGGGTGAAATGGGCCTGTGGGGGTATAGAGGTCTATGGGGTGAAATGGGCCTGTGGGGATATAGAGGTCTATGGGGTGAAATGGGCCTGTGGGGATATAGAGGTCTATGGGGTGAAATGGGCCTGTGGGGATATAGAGGTCTATGGGGTGAAATGGGCCTGTGGGGGTATAGAGGTCTATGGGGTGAAATGGGCCTGTGGGGGTATAGAGGTCTATGGGGTGAAATGGGCCTGTGGGGGTATAGAGGTCTATGGGGTGAAATGGGCCTGTGGGGGTATAGAGGTCTATGGGGTGAAATGGGCCTGTGGGGCCTTGGTGTGGTTGTAGGGGCTGTGGGGCCTGTGGTGGTTATGGGGCCTATGGGAGCCACGGGGCCTGCAGGTCTTTGCGGTGGCTGTGGGGCCTGCGGGGCCTATGGGGCCACGAGGCCTGTGGGGTGACTGTGCCTGCGGAGGCCATGGGGTCACTGCGGGGCCTTTGGGTCTGTGGGGTTATGGGGCCACGGGGCCCACGGGGGCTGCGGATCTCAGCGCCCCAGGGTTAAGGCAGGAGCGCCGTTTCTCCGTGACAGAGATGAATGGCGCAGCCCTGGCGTCTCCCTCCGATGGGATGCTGCACTTGACAATTGACTACTCGCAGCTTTCAGCTCTGTCAGCTACCATTAAGGCTGGGATCCTGGCTAATTGGGTGCTTCATTAGGGGCATTCGTTACTGTTAGTGCTGCCTGACAGCCCGGCCTGCTCTGCTGGCCGAAGGATGGGGCTGCCCCAACCCCACAGCTTCCCCCCCCCGGCCTGAGGAATCCCCATGGGGTGGCCGAGGGGGATGACCTGGGCCATGGGAGTCCCAGCGCCCGCGGTGCCCCGTGCTGCATCCCTCATCCTCATCCCTGGAAGCTGTTAATTGAGAACTCGCCCGGCATCATTGTGCTGGGTCCTTTTGCATGATAAGAGCGGAAACCCATCAGAGTGAAATTGCCTGGAATAAAATCTTTGCGCTAACGAAGCGCCTCGCTGCAGGGACAGGGGACACAGACATGGACACAGACATGGACACAGACATGGGCACAGACATGGACACAGATATGGACACAGATATGGACACAGACATGGACACAGACATGGACACAGATATGGACACAGACATGGACACGGACATGGGCACAGACATGGGCACAGACATGGGCACAGACATGGACACAGATATGGACACAGATATGGACACAGACATGGACACGGACATGGGCACAGACATGGACACAGACACAGACACAGACATGGACACAGATATGGACACAGATATGGACACAGACACAGACACAGACATGGACACAGATATGGACACAGATATGGACACAGACACAGACACAGACATGGACACAGATATGGACACAGATATGGACACAGACATGGACACAGACATGCACACGGACACAAACACGGACACAAACACGGACATGGACACAGATATGGACACAGATATGGACACGGGCACAGCATCGCTCAGGTGCTGCCCTTCCACGAAGGAAAGCAGCCCAAAAGCCCACCCTTGGGGCACAGCCCCACAGCGGGTGATGCCGCACGAACCTGCGCTCCACACCGGTTTTGCTTTAATGCTTTTCCTACAACCCCCAGGAAACGAACATCCCCAGAGCGCTGCAGGCTGCCAGCCTTCCCCCGGCACCCCGGTTCCTGCAGCCGCTGGCGGTGCCCACCTGCCGGCGCCGCGGCCGCGCCGCTCCTGTTTGCCAAGGCAGGACACGCGCTCTCCGGCTCGAGCTCATCTTTTTAAATCTCATCTCAATTCAGATCCCGGTGACCCTCAGAGGACGCTGAACGCTGCCCCCGTGCCCCTGCCCCGCAAACCTCACAAAAGCACCCAAAGCTTTGGGGTATCAGCGCCCAGCCCCCATCTTGTGCCCCCATTGCCTCGGTTTCCCCTTGCGCAGCAGCCTCCCCTCCCTGGGAGCCCCGGTGCAGCTCAGCAGCCCCACGCAGCGATGCAGGGCGGTTGTCTCACCGTTACACCCTGCACGACCAGCCCGTGTCCCAAGGGTTAAAGAATTCAGCTTTTTCTTTCCTGAACAGCTTGAAAAGAGGTATGATTGCACTCACTGAAATACAATGCGGGGGGGGGGGGAGATATTATGGATGGAAAAGAGCTATTTAAGCTGAAGAACGGCGTTGGCACATAAACAAATGGGTATAAACTGGCCATGAATAAATTGAGGCTGGAAATTAGGAGGTGTGCAACCATCAGAGGAGCAAAGCTCAGAACGGGGCTGCGGCTCCAGGGGTCCCCCGGCCGCGGGGACCCGGCCCCGAAAAATCTCTCCCTTCCACCTTCACCTCCCGCAATCTCCTTCATTCAAATCCTCACAGCGTGATCACCAGTAATAAAGCCTCTCGCAGCGCAAAATAAACCGGCGCGCCCCGCAGCCCCCAGCCTCGCCCCGCGCCGTCTGCCGAGCGCAACCTGATGGAAATGCAAATGGCCACGCGGACACCGGCGGCCCCGCGCTGCGCTGCCCCCGCCGCGAAAACGTGCGAGAAAACAGCAAAAGGCGATGAAACGCAGCGCCAGGCAGCGCCCATCCCGCGGGGCCGGGGGGAATTGACTCCCGCGGGAGGAGGCGCGGACGCGTGATCCTTTCCGCAGCGCTCCGGCTCTTTTCTCCATTAATCCCGGCGCTCTGCTGGTTCCTGGCGTGTCCGTGGCCAGCAATGGGCTTCACGCCGGGAACGTTTAAGCTAGTTTTCCCATCTGTTTCTTTTTTGCTCCTTGGCCGGCCCCATTACTGAGCCTCGGAGCTGCGATGCTGAGCGCAGCGCTGCGGTGCGGAGATGTGCGCCGTGTGCTCGTCCCCGTGCCTGGGCTGCAGAGGGTGTCCCGTATGGAGCTCACATGGGGAAATGGAGCAGCTCTCGGGGCTGCTTTTGGGGACTCACCAGGCGGGCCGAGCTCAGCCCTCGGCGCTCTGCATCCACCCCAGCACCACCCACACCTGCCCCGTCTCCAGGACCACGCTCAACACTTATTTAGGGGTGTTGGTAAGATGCTTGGCATGGGCAGAGAGCCAGTAGAGAAGGGCTGTGATTCCTTCCAGCCAGGACAGTTTCCCTCATTCCCCTCCAGCTCGCACACCCTGCTGCAATGCGGCGTTTCCACGCATGGCCAACGCTCTGCGGCACCGGCATGGGTGCAGTATGGTGAGGGTGCAGCCATTGCAGTTGTGCCACCAGCATCACTCGCACCAGAGAAACACAACGCCTGCATCACCCCAACGATCCCATCCCACCCCATCCCATCCCATCCCATCCCACCCCACCCCATCCCATCCCATCCCCATCCCATCCCATCCCATCCCACCCCATCCCACCCCATCCCACCCCATCCCACCCCATCCCATCCCACCCCATCCCATCCCATCCCACCCCATCCCACCCCATCCCACCCCATCCCATCCCATCCCATCCCACCCCATCCCATCCCATCCCATTCCATTCCCACCCCATCCCATCACATCCCATCAATGCCCAGTGACAGCTCCACATGCAGCCTTAGGACAGCAGCCAGCCCCACAGCACATCTCAGCGCATGCAGACGTGCAGCACCACAGCATGCTCCAAAATCTCAGCACGGCTCTGGCATCACAACACCTCCAGCACTGTGACCATGGCATGGCTCTGGTACCATGGCACAGCTTCGGCACAGCTCCAGCACGGCTCTGGCTGCAGCTCGTGGTGTGCCTGTAATGTGGTCTTGAGGGACCCGCCGTACACACACCACGTAAATTATTTAATTTCTCCAAACTGCTGCACCTTTATAAATCATTAAAAGCTCCTTTTGATCTGTGTTAATGAGGTTTCCTGAATGTGGTGGCTGGAATCGCACTTCAGCGCCGGAGAACGAATCAGCTAATTAAAAAAATAAAGAAGGAGCAAGTGGGAGCACAGGGAGCAGAGGAGGCACAGGGACACGGACAGGGGCCCAGCACCCGCACCGTGTGAGGCCCTGCGCTCAGGAGGGCAGGAGTTGCAGCATGGGGACACCGTTACATTTTCCCCCTTTTTCCACCCCCACTTTTTGGAGAGGCTGCAGGACGGGGCCATGGCTGCTGCCATGGATGCCGCGATACCGGCGGAGCCAACATCAGGCAGCCCTGACAGCTTTAATATCAATATTTATCTTGACTCCCAAACTCTGATCCCAGTTACATATTCAGCAGCTCGATTACAGTTATCTGGGATGATGGTGACGGCTCCAAGCGACGGGAGGTTACCTGGGGCTTAACGCAGCCTGACAGCCCCGTGGCTGAGCTGTGTGGCAGAGAGGAGCAGGGGATGGTGGCACCCTGGTGCAGATGGCAGAGCTGCACCTCAGCGAGCTGCACTGGGTGGGAAACCCCACTAAAGGCTGAATCCATCGCCAGCATCCAGCGCAGAGCGGGGTTTTGATTCGGCTCCTGGCTGTGGGATGCGTTGCTGCAGGGTGCAGCGCTGTGCAAAAGGCGTCTCCAAAGCGCCGTGAGAACTCTGCCACCTCCACCCACACAGCACTGGGCGCTGCCTCATAGCGCCGTGCTTTCAAGGCCAGCACACCCCAACCACGCTGCTCACAGATGAAAGCTTGGTGCAACTTTCTGCAGGTGTTGCATAGGGCTCACCTTTATGGAAATCACGGGGCCACAGTCAGCAAGAAGCACAGCCAGGAGGGACCTGCACAGCCTGGGATGGGCAGCACAGCGTCGGTAACACGTGCACACGGGCACACGGAGCTGCTGCTCCCCACCAATGCTTATTTTCCCAGCTGAAGCAATCGCTGCCAGCTCACTGTGCTGCTCTTGTAGGGAGATCTGCACCCGAGTGCTGCGGAGGGGCTGGGGGGTGACATGGGCAGCAGGGCAGCCAGTCCCTATCCTGCAAGCTGGGGACGTCCCCACGGCCCCGCAGTGTCCCCACAGCCCCGCAGTGTCCCCACAGCCCCACAGTGTCCCCACAGCCCTGCAGTGTCCCCATGACCCCACAGTGTCCCCACAGCCCTGCAGTGTCCCCACGGCCCCACAGTGTCCCCACAGCCCTGCAGTGTCCCCACGGCCCTGCAGTGTCCCCACGACCCCACAGTGTCCCCATGGCCCCACAGTGTCCCCATGGCTCCCCAGTGTCCCCACGGCCCTGCAGTGTCCCCACAGCCGCGCAGTGTCCCCACAGCCCCACAACATCCCCATCCCCCAGGGCCCTGCATCCAGCCAGAGCCTCCCAGGCTGTCGAGCCCGCGCTCCAGAGGTTCACTCATCTTCATTCCCAGACCTCTCCCTTCCCTTTTTTCCCATACAGATGACAGGCAGAGGAGTTGCCACACGGCCATTGGCCACGGGAGAGTGGAGGTAACCTCGTCCGGGCTCCCCCACGCTCCCCCAGGAGACAACTGCTCTGTTACCTGGGGCAACAGCGGAAAAATTATGGCTGGCATCTAAATTGCCATCATTATGCTCCAGAGCCAACACTCCCCATTTACACTTTATTGTCATCTTTTGCTTTAGGGAGATGCTGAGATATTACAGGACCGGGTGACAGAGTGGGATGAGATGGGATGCATGAATAGATAGACATATAGATAAATGGGTACACCCGGAGCTATTATTTCAGCCTGTTTGCAGATCTAGAAAAAGAGCAGCAATCCTCACTCCCGCGGGCGAAGGGGAGACTTTTATAACAGAGAAGAAAACGAAATTTGTTTAAATGCCGGCGCGTTGCGAGCGCTGTGCCCACACGGCGCCGAGCTTTGCTGAAGTGCTGATGGGCAGAGAGGCTCCTCCAGCTCCCTGCCTCACGGACCTGCCTGGCAAATCTGCACTCGAGGAGCCCCGGGGAGCTGCTTGTCCTGCAGCCATGCCAAAGCACGCAGGCAGCAGCACAGGGGATGCAGAAATGCCCCAGGCACCCGGTGCAGCTCCAAGCAGCGCGGGCGCATCGCTGGCTCTCACCCCGCGACGCAGCACTCAGCCCTTCTCACATCTCAACCGCTCTCAAGACGACACACTTATCTTATGAGATGTGCCCTCAGCCATCCATATTAATTTGGAGGCAGAACCGCGGCGCTGGCTCGAGTGTGAGATGAGCTGCAGAGCGCCTGGGGAGAGGGAACTTCTCGGGGGCTCTTGTGCACAACCGGCTCCCAGCAGCAGCCAGCACAGGGCTGCGGTCAGGGGAACTGGGGCACCCCAAAAACCAAGCTGCTCCCCCCCCACCGATGTGTTTTAGGGGAGAAGAGGAATGCTGGAGCGAGTTCGGCTCCAGTTGGGTGTGCAGAAAGCGGCGCGGCGCCTTCGTGCTCCTCCGCAATTAATGTGGTAGTCTGGATGCTAATTAATTTCTCCAAGAAACCAAAGAGGAATTTGGATGGAAGGTGCTGGGAAATGAAGTAGGAGCAGAGATGGAAATGCTCAGAGTGGGACTTTGTCCCCCTGGTCACAATCCCACTGAAGTTCTGCTCCGGCACCACTGTGCACCTT